ATGTGATAGTTTTAGAAAGAATATGCTAAAAACCGAGTCAGGGGATGTAAAAAGAGAAATGAGTCAGGGGGATGGAAGAAGAGAAATAGAACAAATCCATTTTTTTCTTAATTTTTGGTTTCTCTGTCTGTTTGTACAGGCTAGTTTCCGAAACTGTTGGACTGATTTAAATAAATTTTTGCATGATGATACCTTATATCCCCGGTCAATATTTTAGATACTTTTAATCCCAGAAAATTAAAGAGTTCCCGTGAGATAGTAAAAAAAATTTAGTAACTTATACAGCTTATATATCAGTAACGTACACAAAAAATATGAATTGGATTTTAAAGAAACTTTACAATAATATAGTTCATACATCAGAATAACAAATAGGCTACTTTTTATCCCGGACAAATTTATAGTTCCCGTGCGATAGATTTGTATTTTTTGTCTAGAGGCGAACCTGAGCGAAGTGAGGATGAGCAGTTAGTACATAATATTTCACAGATAATTTTCTTTTAAACTAGAAAAAATCTTGTAAAACGATAATAATTTTTGTGAAAGCATTCGAAAACTGTCTGTTGTAAGCCACCTTTAAAATTCTGACTCTTACAAGGACATCGTTCAAAATATTTGCATTTATATTTAAAGGCAGGTTTACCGCGATTAAGAAGTAGAGTCAACGAAGCGTTCTCGGATGAGCCCGTTTGAATAATTTACACCTAAAGATGTCGGAAACATGACTTATCCTTTATTTCGTTTTGAATGCCTTTCGACATTCTGTGAGGAAAATTAAATAGAAAAACCATATTTCATTCTCATTGTACGTACATTAAATTTCATAGAAGGAAATTTTATAGATATATGTTTATATATATATAATAACAATAATTAACTTAAAAGTATTTCATTAAAACAATTCTGAATAAATATTATTATTGACAATATATTTAAATTCGTTTTTATCATGCAATACAAAAATGTACTACCATCTATAAGCAATTTATGTGTTTTCAGTAGATATTTGGGACTAATCAATTTACTTTCCTTCAAGAATAATAGACTAGGATTTTTTATTCACACACCTGTACGTTTCGTGAAAGGTAGATGTTGAAGAAAATATACCATTTTCAAATAAATAAAAGGTTAAGATTTTTAAAATATTTAGTATGTTTTCTTAAAAGAATTGGTATTACAATAATTTAAGATCTAACAGAAAACAGGGCCGACCTTTATCGTCTGTCTGATTTTGCCTCAATTTTCCGTATCAGTAACGTTGCTTTTGGAGCCAGGCACAGCTATTACCAATAAGCAATAATTTCCAGACGAACGGCTACGAAACGAGAATCTGTTAATTAGGACATGATGCCTTTGACATAAAATTGAAAAGGTGACAATGACTAAAGTGTCGAGATGCTATCAATATCTATTCTCCAGTAGTACATTAATTTATGACATAATATTTTTTTTTTTAAATCTTGTTATATATACGTTTTTGTGAATTGTGATTCAATAAATTGAATCGAACAGGCAGTGGTAGCCCAGTGGTAGATCGCTTGGGAAACCGAGTGAAGCAGGTTCAAATCCCGGGTCTCGCACCTCTGATATTTTCATGTGCGAATCATTTCTAACATGATTACCACTTGCCTTACGGTGAAGGAAAAACATCGTGAGGAAACCTGCATGTCTGAGAGAACTTAGCAAGTTTTCGAAAGACATGTGAAGTCCGCCAACTCGTCGTTTGAAGATATTTCTATTGCAAACTAACGATTAACCTTTCCTTCCCTCTGGTGCATCTCCAAGTTTCTTTTGTATTAATCTGTACTAATATTATAAATAGGTAAAGTTTGTGAATTTGTGAGTTTTTGACGTTGTAGGGGGTAATCTCTGGATCTACTGAACCAATTTAGGTGAGAAGGACATAGGATACTTTTTATCCCGGAAATCATTCCTGAAGGGGGTGGAAATGGTAATAAAACTTTATATTGGGAAGCAAGGTAGGGACGTACCCGAGCGAAGCGAGGGTGAGTCGCTATTATTATATATAGACATCGGAAATAAAAAAAATTATCACTAACATATAAGTCTATGTACCTGGACTAACAGGTTTTCGTTTATCTGTGTACGAACTTTCATTCAATCCCGTTCAGTCATTTCAGCGTGAAAGAGCAACAAACACAAACATACAAATTTTCCCATTTATAATAGTAATATGATGTCATTATATAAATTAAATGTGTAGGTATATACATAAAACAAAAGAGGATTCATGCATTAAAATAAAAATATATTATATAGAAGTGAAAGTCACGTATTACTAAAATTGGTGCTTATTCTCGTGGTTTCCATTACCATAAAATTTTCTATGTGCGCCTGTTTATGTTTTAATAATGCAATTTTTCGACTCGTCGTCCTTTATTCGTGGAATGTTTATGTCTTAGCAGACGGAATATTATATCGGGGAAGCGTGGAATTATCTATGAAAAGATATGTGAATTCGGAGCACGAATAACCCGAATCGAGGTTTATACCGCTTCTATATTATATCTTATCAGTTTCAAATTTAAAAAATCTTTTGATGACTATCATGTGAATTATATATACTGCACTAAGTCATAACTACTTCTCATAAGAGATCGTAGGAATAAATGGGGAGGTACAGGATAAATGATCGTAGATCATATGGATTATCGTTTTTATTAATATTTTTCCATGTTTCTTAAAAAAAATGTACAACTTAAAAGTAATCGTTTCAAAATTTAATTGAAATTCTGCATTCGCATAGTAAAATTGAAAAATATCAAGCGGTTTGGGTCGGGATCGATTTCAATAAGCGATAACTTCTGCATGGGCGCTCCGCTATCCTTCAGCCGTTTGCGGGTGCTACTGATAAAAGAGGAAGAGATACTCTGATCTGTAGTATGTGAGAAATTGAATGGTATAATCCAAATAAAATTTTACTCATACAGGTCTTTTTACATGCAATTGTATAGTATAGAAAATAGCAATATATATAATACTAGCAAAACCCGCGGCTTAGCTCGCGCTAAAACTACAAAAAAATCTTCATACAAACTTTCATCCTTTATTTTACCTCCTTATAGGATGAATTTCGAAAAATGCAAAAACACGTATTTATTTAATTTTATCAAAGAGCATTAATACCAAGTTTCAAGTAATTCTGATCATACATACTTTTTTGGATTGTATTATAACGTGTTTTCCCGTGGGAATTATAATAGAATCTCCAGCCCACCCAACTTCTCAATCTACACACAAAAATCACGTCAATCCGTCACTCCGTCTCGACGTGAAAGAAGGACAAACAAACACATACTTTCACATTTATAATATTATGTATAGAAGGATGGATTTACATTAGTAAATAAGCTACATAGCTTATAAGGATCAAAAATACCATCGATATGACTGTGATGCTAGTTGTATTCCTCGAGCAAAGTGGATTTAAGCCGTCAACTTCTTAATTCCAAGCGGGATATAACAACTAATTGCTGAATCTTGGAGCTATAAGTACCCAATTAGTTTATTCATTTATTTATTTCTTAGTTACTCAATTATAGAAATTGATTGCGGCCACGTACTGGATGGCGAGGTGGACCAACGACTCGCTGCTGAAACTCACTAGATGCGCACAAGGCTAGTCGTCGTGAAAACACTTGGAGGAGGCCTATGTCCAGCAGGATGTTTCCACTGAGACGACGAGTGCTAATTCTGGAAACAAGAGATAAGTCTTAAGTTTAAGATGATCCCATGCCAAAGATATAATGTTTTCATAGTAGTTACGATTCATAAATAACGATATAGCTTACGGTACGACAATGAAGATTCTTATTTCTATATGAGTCAGATTTTGAATGCTGTAACAAAATTAATTCAATTTGAAACTATTTTAACTTTAAATTTATTGCATAAAATCACAAAACAGTAGAGAAAGTATTATATTCGTGTATCTAGTACGTATATTCAATTTATCTATTATTATCAGAATGAAATGAAGAGTCATTTCTTATCAACAAACAGGTGGTGTACTTCACCCTAGTTACACTAATTACTAGCTTTCTTGTAATAAAGTAATATCTTATGAGAATACAATGTACTTTTCCACTTCTAAGTAATGAACAGCGAATCCGCTGCTTCTGGTGCAGACATAATGTTGCAGCACTGAGAGTACTATAAACCATAACGCATGATTAGTATATTACGTTCTGAAAATATATTTTGTGATAATTAAGCAGACTACTTATACTTTAAATAAATAATTCTAAAAGGGTAGACGGTTAGTTAAATATTTTTCCTTGGGCATATCTCATTAAAATTTGCCAAGCCCCTTTAACTTCTAAAACATTTCATAACCAAGTACCTGGAGTACTCAAAAGAGCTAAACGTTTGTCAATTATAGCTTTCAGCATATTTTCGTATTATTAAGCAGACGGCCCTACTTCATTTGATTGTCGGGACGTCTGGATTCAGGTGTTTATAGCGAAACATTTTTTATTGTTATATAATACTAAAATGCTTATTAAGAGCTACAAAAAATAATAATAAAAGAAATTCAATTATTTGATTTAAAATTTACTAAATTATATGTTATTAATGGATGCTTTAACATATTAAGAAATTAATACAGCTATATTAAATGTACATGATAACAGATGCACCATCTATCGAACTGTTTAATATTTAAGTCGTTTGAAGCGTAGCAAATGGCTGGTTGAAATCGCTATAAATTAAAATTATTTTGCTATAATTTTACATACTCATTTTAGATATTTAATTTAAAAAAATTAAATGTTCTTTTCAAATATATACACATATATAATAATAGCTTTATTTCTTTCTGCAATAATACGTATATAAAACTTGTATATTTTTGGAACAACTTATCTCTTCAATTTCACCCTTCGCCACTGATATATATATATATATATCAGCATATATATATATATATATTATACACTTATTCAAAAAGTAAACCTAAAGTGTGGTCGCAAACACTAGATCGCTTTCCTACGGCTATATAAGAAACAAATGTTACCGACGCTCGCTGGTGAATACAATGGCGTACTTGGTATGCTTTTAGACACCGGCAGAAGCTTTACAGCCCACACTGAATCGCAACCATCTATAAAAATGTTATAAATCGATTCTACCATGTTAAAGAATTTAATGGATCGTAAAAATTAATAGGTGTCTGTCGCCTGCGATGAATCGGAGGGTACAAGTGGAATAGCATTTTCTTGGTTTATGAATTACACGGTAACTTTACGATGGCTTTGCTAGGGTTTGTGCGTCGAACCTCTTACCTCAATCAGATAACAAAGTTATATTTTAATAAAATGTCACTTGAGAATTCTTATTGATAACAGTACATATAATGCGACCGTAATTACTTTAATTCTTTTTAATTTTGCGTGTTTTGTGTTTTGTGGCACATTTCAATCAAGATATGTTATATGGACAGATGGACAGACACATAAGTGATACTGTATATTTTGCATTTTACGCTTATCAAGGTAAAGCATAGAGTTTGTTAAAAATTCAATCTCTATATTATACTCTATAATATAGGTAATATTATATGTATGTTTATACATATTTTATAATAACATTATTTAAACTTTAATGTTATTTAAGAATTCTATTTTATACTAAAATAGAGTTTCTAAAACTTTATTCAGAATAGAGCAACGGTAGAGACACGTACTGGATGTAAAGACAAGGAAACGTATCACATAGTCAACCTTTATGTGGAACATTCATTCGACCTACAGCTGCCTTTTACAAGCCTAGAGAGGAACTACGGTTAGATTTTTCTTTCATTTTCTCAATATTCGCTTTACAATATTAACACATGTAAAATTTAAATATATTTTGTGCATTCATGCCAAATGAAACTGGGGCAAATGTGACATGTATAATGTTAAATAATATAGAAAAATTAAAACAAATTTATCTTATATCTATCTTAAATTTAATATATTATTATAATATTTTTTTCTTTTGTTATAATTACTTCTTATAAAAAATAATTATGAATGATTGATTTAAACTTGAAACAAAATATAAAATCTTCATTTTTTATCTACCTATACAAATTAAAACAGAAATATCCACTTCTGAGTGTAACATAATAACTTTTAAAGTTATTGCAAATTCGGTTTAGCTTTCAGTTTTAAAAAAATTCTTCATGACCCGAAGAATAACATATTTTATGACTAGCATTGCCCGCGGCTACGCCCGCGTTCAGATGACCAAAAACCAAATTCTTAGGTTTTTACATATTATTATACGCTTACATTGCAGTTTTTGAATTTTTCTAAAAAATGAGATATTTTCCAGGTGTAAAAAGTATTCTATATGTTGACCGGGATAACCAGCTATCACCATACCAAATTTCATCAAAATCCATTCTGTGGTTTTTCTGTGATGCGTTAACAGACACACAGATATACAGACATACAAAAATTCTAAAAACTATAGATTCGGTCTCTGTATCGATAATAATGTTTATTTCAATAAGATTTTCCAAAAAATATTTAATGTACAGATTTGGCTTAGTTACAATTTTATAATATGTATAGATAACGTATGACAAGATTTCCACGAAAAATGTTGCACAGAAAAGATAGGAAGAGCTCAGCACGAATAAAATTATTTATTTCGGAATACCCTTTACGTACAAATGATTTTTACAATATTGCAAATAATTTAATTTGGTTTCAGTCATCATAAAATATCGTTATATTAATTGCCTACTCGTTCCACGTATTTACATCTCTTATTGCATTTTATTCATAAAATTATAATAACGTGTGTACAAACTTCTAAACCACTTATATAATTGAGTCACAGTAAAACAACTATATGAGCGAAGACAATTTATTCACCAAAAAAGATTTTACTTATAGTAATTAGCAGAACCAAACCATAGCGTGATTCAGAGAACCGGTAACGCCATCTAGTTAAAAACATATAAACTATTTTTATTCTTATACTAAACATTCCGCCCACCATGGACGAAAGTTCATCTTAACATAACAAAAATCAACAATATTGTTAAACAAAAAACAAAAACAATATAAAAATAACTGCTTAACTTAACACTTCTAATGGACTGTAATCTTAAACAAACGAGTTAGGTAACAATAAACTTATCAACTACGAACATTCAATATTTTTCAATATTTAAACAAGCACGATAGATTTTACTATAACTTATAATAATAATTTATGTAGCAATAGGTAAAATAATGAGTTTAGAAATAGGTCTTTTAATTACATTATTTTTACATCGAAGACTCACTACACGTGTAAATTTGTCCAAGCCAGGATGTTTCTCTACTATTAAACCGTATAGCCATCGAGAAGGGGGAAGATCGTCTTCCTTAACTAGGACAACGTCTCCGACCTTCGGTTCATTCGTGGTATTTTTCCATTTATAACGATGTTGAAGCTGAGTCAGATATTCGTGTGACCATCTACGCCAGAAGTCTTGGACTATTCGCTGGGTCAAATGCCAACGAGTAAGATTACTCATCGATGCCTCCTCAAAATTAACTTCAGGCACAAGAACCAGAGGTTCACCGACTAAAAAATGTCCTGGTGTTAGTGGCCTTGGATCTTCTGGATCGCTGCTAATTTGAGAAATCGGTCTCGAATTAAGGCAAGCTTCTATTTGCGACAGCACTGTTGTCATTTCTTCAAATGTCAACGTACTATTGCCCACAACTCGCTTCAGATGGTGCTTGGTGGATTTTATTCCGGCTTCCCATAGTCCTCCAAAGTTTGGAGAGTGAGGAGGAATAAAATGCCACTTAGTGCTATTATTTTCAAGCCATTCAACGATTTCTGGTATTATGCTCGTTCTTTCCTTGTCATAAAGTATCTTTAGTTCCTTTGCGCTGCCAACAAATGTCGTACCATTATCACTCCATATTTCGGAAACATGGCCTCTCCTAGCTACAAATCGTTTAAAGGCGGCTAAAAATGCTTGAGACGTCATGTCGCTAACAATTTCTAAATGCACAGCCTTGGTTGCCATGCAAATAAAGAGACAAATGTATCCTTTAGTGGTATGATAACCTCGGCCTTTGGTTGGCCTTACGCTGATTGGACCTGCATAATCTACACCACATCGTAGAAAAGGTCTACAAGCCCTGACTCGAGCTTCTGGCAGCTGACCCATCAATTGATTGGTTGGCTGTGCAGCATAACGAACACAAGTTATACATTTCTGTATAAACAGTCTTACAGCGCTTCTTGCATTGAGAATCCAATATTTACTTCTTAGGCAATTAAGTGTCATTTGAGGTCCTCCATGCAGTGTTAAAAGGTGAGCTTCCGCTATGATAAGGTTAGTAAAGTGAGATTTATGTGGTATAAGAATTGGGTGCATCATATCGTGATTCACAAAAGAGCGATGCAATCTTCCGCCAACCCTCAGTATGCCATCACTATCTATCATGGGATTTAATGAGGTAAGTTTGCTATTCTTTTTAATCTGTCTTTTTTCTTTCAGGCATATTATTTCATCTTCAAAGTGCTCAATCTGACATAGACGAATGCAGGTAAGTAACGCTTTATTTATTTCCTCTGTAGTTAGAGACGCTGTAGCTTTAAAATTATCCTTGCTTTTTGTTTTCAAAAACCTTTTGCAATATGCTACGACTCTAGTTAACCTTTTTAATGATGAAAATTTTGACAAAATATTATTTTCTTCATTATGTGTAGTAACATGACATGCTATTTTAGATATTTTCATTTCTAACGTAGTTTCCTTTATTTTGCTTCTATCGTAGTTAACTATTGCTTCTTTTAACCAGTCCGGTCCTCTTTTCCAGAGTTCTAGTTTGCTGTAGTCATCAGGTTGGACCCCCCTGGATGCGCAGTCAGCTGGATTTTCCTTAGACGGTACAAATGACCACTGGGTACTGTCTAAAATGGTAAGTATATCTGCCACTCTATTCCCAACAAACGTTTTCCATTTGCTGGGATGGCTACTTATCCAAGCTAGTACTACCAGTGAATCAGACCAAGCATAAAGATTTTGTTTTGGAATTTTCAGCGTTCCTGCGACCTCATCGAGAAGCTTCGCGAGCAACACAGCTCCGCATAGTTCAAGGCGTGGGATGGAAATTTGCTTTATCGGTGCAACACGAGATTTTGAGGTAAGTAAACTAACATGTATTCGTCCTTCATTATCTTCAATACGTGCGTATACGACTGCAGCGTATGCTTCACTGGAAGCATCGGAGAACCCGTGTAATTGGATACATTTATCATCACGCTTCGAATTTATCCAACGCGGCAGACGAAAGTTGGTAAGTCCTCTCAAGGCTGCACGATATGATATCCAATCCTTCAACAATTGTGGTGGAAGTTCTTCATCCCAATCGATACCTGAGAGCCAAGTTCTTTGTATGAACACCTTAGCTTTAATTATAACAGGAGCCAGCCAGCCGAGTGGATCAAATAATCTGGCTATATCCGAGATGATTTTTCTTTTAGTTATTGGTTGATCCAGTGGAGGTAGTTGGACTTTATATTCAAACTCATCGGTTTTCCTGTTATATCCTAAACCTAAAATTTTAAACATTTCATCAATATTAAATTCTAAATTATCTTTCGAAGCATTGTTTTGTCTTAATTGTTCCAGTAATTCTGCACTATTACTAGACCACTTTTGTAATTGAAATCCTCCACGGCCAAGTAACTCATTCATCTCTTTGTATATTTTTAAGCCTTCGCTAACGTTTTCACAACCGCTCATTAAATCATCCATATAGAAATCCTTTAGAATTCGTTCAGCAGCTAAAGGATATTCTTGACCATCATCGTGAGCTAACTGTTGCATGCTTTTTACAGCCAAATAAGGAGCTGCAGATGTACCAAAGGTAACTCTTAAAAGTCTATAATGCTTCAGCTCTGAATTTTGGTTCTTGCGCCAAAGAATACGTTGAAAATCAACATGTTCTTCCGAAATTTTTATTTGGCGGTACATTTTGATAATATCCGCGATTAGGCATATTGGATGGCAACGCCATCGCATGATTAAATGTCTTAATTCTGGTTGCAAGGATGGACCGACTAATAACTCATCATTTAACGAGACGCCATTGCTATCCTTACATGACGCATTGAAGACCACCCGGACCTTAGAGGTGCTTTTGTCCTCCCTGACAACGGCATGATGTGGAAGGTAAACTGCATCTTTATTTCTCCCAGATTTTACTTCTTCCATGTGACCCAAACTTAAATACTCCTCCATTACTAATGAATACTTTTCCTTTAAATCGGGATTTTTTAAGAGACGTCTTTCTAGGCTTAAAAATTGTCGTTGACAGATTTCTCTTGAATCACCAGACTTGCAGGTTGGATCCTCATTCCTAAAAGGTAGATTTACAATATAACGTCCTGTGGCATCCCTTCTGGTAGTTTTCTGAAAAATGGATTCACATTTTTCTTCTTCCTTAGTAAGAATTTTAACATTGTTATTTGGCTCTGCTTCAAGTTCCCAAAACTTCTTGAGTAATTCATTAACATCACTCAATTTACTATGCATGCTTATAATACGACACCCGTTTTGAATATTTCTATTAAGAACTTGGCCTGATAAGATCCAACCGAACTGAGTATTTTGCGCTATAGGAGTGCCCGGAGGACCTTTGACTATACCTTCTAACAATATCTGGCCATAAACATCTGCCCCTAGTAGCAAATCTATCTTATTTGGAATATTAAATGACGGATCTGCTAACTCTGTAGACGGAAGTGTCGTAATCATTTCCACTGTGACATTTTTCTCTGGAAGGAGAGCGGTCAATTTACTCAGAACATGAGCCTTAACCGTGATAATAAAATTAGGATTAGTGCGAGACTGTATATTTACTATTACCATCGCTTTTGAAGAAAGTTTAGATTCTTCCTCTCCACCTATCCCTGATATGATACTCCTATTAGGTATTTTTCTTAACCCTAACATTTGGACTGCAGCTTCAGTAATAAATGACGCCTGCGATCCTTGATCTAATAAAGATCTAAACAGTATAAAATTACCTTTCCTCGCCTTAATTTTTACCATAGCAGTTGCAAGTAAAACTTGGCTAAAAATATTTGAATGGCAAGAAATTACATTATTGGTCTCGCTTTGTGAGGAGGTTGATGAAACTTCCCTAACCGACTTAACAGCTTTGATCTCCTCATCTGATCTAGAAGGTTCCATAGTATGCAGAAGAGAATGGTGTTTTCTCTTACATATACGACATCTGGTAGACTGTCGACACGAATATACCGAGTGATTCAGTCCGAGACAATTAAAACATAACCTTTTAAGTTGGACAAAATTACGACGTGAGTGAACATCTTCATTAGCAAACTTTTTACAATTATATAATTTATGGTCTCCAGAACAATAACCACAAGAGATTGCATTTGAGACATGAAGTGCCTTTATATCATTATTACGAGTGTATTGTTTATTCATTTTTGGATCTATAAACTCCAATGCCCTATATCTATGTTCCAAAAAATCATTAAATTGACTTAGTTTAGGTAATTCTTGTGAAACATCTCCTATGTAGAGTTCCCATTCCTTTCTGGACTGTGGATCGAGTTTTTGGCTAATCATATAAATAATGATAACATCCCAACTACTGACATCTATATCCAAGTTTCTCAAAGCACTTAAACATTCGTTAGTGGTGTCTAATAATTCCTTAATAGTATTAGAAGTTTCTACTGTAATGTTCTTTTGATTAATAAGCCTTCTCAAAATACAATTTGCTAGGTATCTTTTGTTATTATATCTATGTTCTAGCTGTGTCCAGCAAGTACTGTAATTATCCGATGTAATAGGTACATAACGTAATAATTTTTCAGCTTCGCCTGTGAGATGGCCCTTTAAATATTGTAATCTTTGAACATCATCTAAATTATTATTATTATGAATAAGAGACAAAAATAAGTCACGAAAACTAATCCACTCATTATAGTTACCAGAAAATATAGGTAATGATATTTTTGGTAATTTAACATTGCATATATTTTGTTCTTCTTTTTTAGCTACTTTCAATGTACACTCTTCTTTACGGACCAAACTCTTTAAAACATCCTTTAATTCAGACTTATAATCAAAATATAATTCTTCTGTAATTTCAAACACATCACTCTTGTAATAATCCGTACTATCCAAATCATAGTTTGCAATAAGTTTATTATTATTTTCCACAAATACGGAACACTGTGATTCCAAAGCCTCGAGTCGTGTTTCAATATAAGAAGGAGTTAAACGTTCCTTAGGTGATTTTTTGAAATTTATTTTTGCTTTATTTATAGTTTTATTACAATTATATTGGACCTTTATCAAAGATTCCATTTTTAAATTTTATTTTATTTTTATTTTTTTTAATGAAAATTTTAAGTCCAAAAAAAAAAAGTTTTAAATTTTACAAGTGTTTGGTATCACCTTTACACGGCACTAAAATCGGGCATAGGTTCCCCGTATTGTCACTTTTCTTAAATTTATTCTAAGTCCATATTTTAACTTCAACTTATTTTCGCAAATTTTAATGAATTTAATTTTTAAAGTGTCTATCACCACTGATTTTAATATAAAATAAAAGTACTTACAGTTTCCGTGCACTTTACTTAACTCACACCACTAATCTCTTGTATACGTCACTTCGGTAGTTGCCACCCATTGGCAGTAGTCACTCGTGCTGAAGGATTTTTTCAGGCCTGTCGCTTGTTCACCAGAGACTTCTGCTTCTTCACCTCAGGAGCTCCGGCTTCGCCCTTGACAACAATCCGTTGCCCGTGGGTGCGAACACTCGGTACTTCTCACTTCACTGACACTCGGTCGCGCGTCGTATGTCCGTCTCGATAGGACCATGTACAAACTTCTAAACCACTTATATAATTGAGTCACAGTAAAACAACTATATGAGCGAAGACAATTTATTCACCAAAAAAGATTTTACTTATAGTAATTAGCAGAACCAAACCATAGCGTGATTCAGAGAACCGGTAACGCCATCTAGTTAAAAACATATAAACTATTTTTATTCTTATACTAAACAACGTGTCAAAAGTAATGACGGGCTCACATTGTGTGTCACACACAGTTTTAAAGAAAAACGTGTGTACTTATATACGCACGTAAGAATTTATATGTACTTCTTTGGCGTAACAGCACAAATTTTTTATCCCGTATGTCATAACACTCTGTTTGTAAAAGGAATAATAAATTAATAAAATAATAAAATAAGCCATATTGGGCATATTACAATAATATATTTATAGAACGTCATTTGAGGAAAGAATATAATATTATTTGTCAAACAATAACAACGGTTACCATGACAACAAACAGTTATCAGCGAACTTCATCATGTCGCTTTGTGCGCGCAAATCGTAAAAATCTTACTCTCTTAATTTTTTCTAAACTTGACATCAAAAATATATTACAATCTTGCTAAAAAATGCTCCAGTTAAAATTAGAACCAAATAAAATTAGTCGTTAGTTCCTTTGCGCTTCTTTTCCTCTTCATTGGAGCAATAAACGTATTTTTTTTGCTTAGAGAATGTTTATATGCGAGAGAACGAGTGAAGAAAGAGCTACTATCATGAAAAAAAAAACAACATTAGATATAGTATATGAAGTTATATCGGAATTTCACATTTCTTTAGTACTAAATTCATTTAAACCCATATTTATTTATTACTAGCGGCTCACACTCGCTTCGCTCGGGTTCGCCTCTAGAAAAACATAGAGATCTATCCCGGTCATTTTTCCGGGATGAAAAGTAGCCTATTGTTTGACTGGCAATATAACACATGCCAAATTTTACCAAATTGCAGTGCATAAGTTGTTGTGTATAAGTTACTATAGTTTTTTAACTATCCCACGGGAACTCTTTAACTTTCCGGGATATCTAAGATGTAGCCCGGGGATATAAGGTACTACCATGCAAAATTTCATTTAAATCAGTCCAATAGATTCGGAGATTAGCCCGTACAAACAGACAAACAGACAGTGAAACAAAAAAATTGAAAAAAATCTGGATTTGTTCTATTTGTCTTCTTACATTCCCCTGACTTCGTTTTTATTATTTTTTTTTCTATGTACAGACATTCGACCTTTACAGTTTTATTATAGTATAGATATCAAAATTAAATCGTAGGTACTCAATAGTTATATAAAATAATTAAGCTGTTAAACCTAGTGCTTCTAAGCCTTTGCTTAATTCTGTACTCAAATGTAATAGCCAACCTAACTGTACGTAACACTAGAGCAATTTCTTTAATTATGTATAATTACTCCGTTTCTAAGGTATGCAGCTCGATGTTAGATAGCTTATGACCATTCTCCATAAACAAGCTTTAAAATGCAAGTATTTTCTATGCAGCCCTTTTTAACGTCCGCTGGGCAGGAGCTTCCCTTCAATATGAGGTATGGACCCAAACTTGTTATAGAAAATTTAGTTAATCTATCAATCTATATAAATAAAAATGATTGTTGCTGAGCGCATAACTCGAGAACGGCTCGACCAATTCAGCTTTTTTTTTCGTATGTTTCTTAAGGTACACGGAAAGTTTTAATAAAGAGAAAAAAAAAATATAAAACAAAGTATATATAAAAAAACAAAGTCGTGTCAGTTACATCATTTATAACTCAAAAACGGCTGGACCAATTTTAAGTTTAAATATTTATATGTAAATATATAATATAATAATATTTCCAAATACAGGGTACTAGGCACAGTTACATGTACACATAAGTATTTTATTACATTATTAAAAAAGGTGTCTATAAAAAAGAGTTTTCAGTTAAACTATACATTAATGTATAGTATTTTTACTTTAAAAATAAAGCATAAGTAAATATTTTTTTAATAAAAAAACTTTAAGTTGAATAATGTAAGCGCTGCATTTTATTATACCCAGTCAAGTCATCAATAACGCTCGTCCCGCCATATTGAACAGAAAATTCAATAAAATTTTATCAGTCAATTTCATAGTTCTCACGATCGCCTTGACGGCTCCATTTGTTACCGGAAAATTATATTCACTTGACGTGGCATTTATAACTACGTAAATGATGTCGATTTGCACATTTTTAATTTGTAACGATTTGATCGAGTTTGTGAAATAATTTGTTTAATAGAACGAATATTTTATAGTATAATTGTTGATAAATAACACGTTTTAGATTAAAATTTAAGGGATATTAGTAAATGCTTTTTTTGCGATATTAAGATAGAGAAAAAGAGAGAGAGAGGGAGAGAAAGAGGAGGATATTCACAAAAATACTTTTTATTGAAAGTATTCTGGAAAATTTGTTTTGCTTTTTCACTTTATATTTTTTATTTTTCATAATGCTAAAACTTTTTCATTTTTAAAAAAAATTAACTTTTTACACCTATAAAGTGCCATTCTTTTCTTTATTTTTATCATAATTTAATGACAGTATTGTATAGAGGACAATGTGAGACTCCTTTTAAATTTCAGCTTATAATATATAACTAATAGTTTTCTAGTAATATGTTAAGATGAACATAACAAAAATATATAAAAGGGTTAAATTTTTACTATTCGACTTCGGAATATATGAAGAGAAAAACGTAAACTTAAATAACGGAATTTTGTTCGAGCCGTGGCTCTGTGAAAAAAGATCTATGTGCCAAAAAAACACGCTTATTTATTTATACTATAACAGCGGTAAGGATCAACGTAAATATGAATAAGTAACAAAACAGTTAATTAAATAAATCATTAAATTGATCTCGACCCGTTTGAAGACCAATGAAAACACTCAGCCGCCGGCTTTGTTTGTACTAATCTTCAAATCTATTGTAACATTTAATATCTGAATTCTGTTAAAAATATACATTACGGTTTATAATCGTACAAATTACTTTTAACTAGGTATTTATTTGATTTTATAAAATATATACTCGTGATAGTAGATCGTATTACTTATAAAAAAAATACTTATTTCTTAGCTAATTAATTTTTGGTCTTTTCAGAAATAACATCCAAAAGCAAAATTGGAAAGGTTGCATACTATTGACAATCTAATCTATCTACACTCTACTTAAACGTAACTATAAACTTGGAGTATTACGTATTCCGCCCACTGTCACATTACTGGGCGGGCGGCGATATAAAACAATAAGCTTTCATTACTAAGCCATGCTTTATGCTTCGTGAACACGCGAGAAACCTGAACATTATTTGAATGTTCAATTTAAAACTTTACTTATATATAAATAAAGCCTAGTATCGCTTGTTAATAATCAGTTTTAACGTTGGCCTCCTTTAATCGCGACTCGAAAGTAACACAAACCCTGATTTTACTGCTTCAAAAAAAATGAGAATTTTATTTTAAAACGCTCAAAAGTTTAACTTTTTTATTATTTGGGAGAATAATTAAGAATTGGTGTCAAAATATTTTTGAGTATATTTGAAAGTTTTAATATGTTTTACTGGAACGTTCCACTAATATTATTTTTGCCTAAGATTGATATTTTGCATACAAATATTGCATGTAACGTAAAACCCTATCTATGTAACTTGTATTCACGGTAAATCGAAAAGCAAGAGTGAGTAATATTTAGGAAATAATGC